AGTGCTCCTAATGGCATTTGCATGAAAGTCAACCAAACCTAAACAAAAACACAGTAAATGTTCATCTCACTGCCAGTGCTCGCATACAGGAATGCAGGGCTCACACTAACCACTTCAGTGGTGCTCTTTTGTTCATAGGGCTTGTACATGGCCAGAGCCACACAGTCGAGCAGGATCACAAATTTGGATGCAAAATCCAACCACGTGGAGGAAGAGGTTAAGGTCAAAGCATCATATTCATTTATTCATATAATTAATCAACAACAGAGGAAAGAGAATTACATACTGGAAGCACCTACAGTAATGGGACTAATATTGGCTTTAAATCTTCTAAATATTACACATATTTGGTCTCACCAGGTACCAGACAAGGTTACACTTGCAGTAAGAAAGGATATGGACAGCAGGCAATTTTCAACCAGTCACGGGGTCTTCTGGTTTGTTTCATACAGACATTGTTTTGTGCTCTTTGTTCTGGTATAGAGAGGGCCACCTCCTCCACCTGTCCCCCAAAACCAGTCATGACGAATTTTGAGTATAGATACTCTGGAGGAAGCATAAAAAGAAAGAGGTTAGAAAGACGAGAAGAGAGGAAGACAAGCAGGTAAGAGTGAGAGAGGACAGGGAGAGACAATATGGCTACACACTACTAGGCGTATGAGAGGAAATATGTTTAAATTAAATCATTTCATTTATTTATATTATATAACAACAATGCAATATAAAGCACTTCATCATGTGGAAAAGTCCTGCAGTGAATATGTCACTTGATTAAAAGCACATATGTAGGCCATTAAAAGGTATTAGCAAACTGAAAGTATCCAAAATGCAGGAACAATTCCCCTGTGTTACACTATTGTATATTTGCATTATAGTCACTAATGCATTAATGACAAAGTAATGTTTTACAGTTTACTGGTGAAGGTGGAGCTAGTGTTAAAGCTGCAGTAGATAGATTTTATATGTAGAATTTATATGTATTTATCTATTAATCTTATTTTATATATAATGTAGCAGTTGAAAAGTACAGTTTTCCCCATTGAAATGTATCATTAAATTTGTCCCAAGCAGCTACTGTACTGCAGCTTTAAGTGCTACTCCAGCCACATGATTTTGTAAATGAACGTTAGCTCATTGTATGCTAGCCATAATGCTAGGCTCTGCAATGTCGCCTAAAGACGTGAGGTCTCTTTGGGCTAATACACGAGAATATACACGGACTCCAGAGGTAAATTCAAATATTATTTACTCAAATATGTATCCACTTATGAAAGTTTTTTCAGGTTAATTTCACTAATGAGTTAGCTAACTGCAAATGGTGAAATAATTTCAGTTAGCTGGCTAAGTGTTAGCAATTTAAAAGATAACAGTGCATCAGAACTTCGGATAAACATTTGACAGTAAACAAATGACTCCAGTCAGATTCTGCAGTTAACATAGAAAGTGTTTATAAACTGGTCAAAGCCTGTATTGTATTACTTTATTAATCCCACAACGGGGAAATTCCCTTGTCACAGCAGCATTTTATGTGAAATAAATAATATATAATATTATTATATATTATTATAAATTAATACAGATATAAAACAACTATGGTAAAGTGGTAAAGTTATGGTATGGTGGTAATTTGAAAAACAGAAAGTACAACATTGATCAGGTGTTGTAGAGTCTGACAGAGCAGGGCTGAAGACCCGCGGAACTTCTCCTTACACCGTATGAGACGTTCATTGACAGATGAATTAAGAGATCGTTTGTGCAGTTTGGGTTTTAAGTAACGTTATATTCTTCTGTAAAGTTGACTGGTTCCGAAAGAAAACATAATTTTAGTCACATTATAGCTAATGTTGACATTCACGAGTGCAGCCCGGTGTTACAATTAGAAATCTCAGATAACATTTCCACTGCAAAAGTTTCTGCAATAACATAACGTTATATTTTATTTTGATAATGTTAGCTGCTACCAAACATGGCGCGTCCATAGTGTTTAACGTAGTGTTTACATTTGTCGCACATTTACATATTTGCAGGATTAATTGGCTGGCGTTAATAAGCAAACATCAAGCCTCCGCCGGATACTGACGTTAGGTCGGATGTAACTCAGTGACCCCTGGAGCTAACGCTAGGAGCTAACGCTACATGGGAAACACAAACCGGGAAGAGCACTTACCAGAACAAACAGTTGGCAGAGTGTTGTCCACTTGTCTTTAAATGGTTTCAGAAGTCCGTTCAGGTTTGTAACAACTGAGTTAACATTAGCAGGTAGCTATACCGACATGCAAAGCACAAGAGTTGTTTACAAACAATAACATTAAGTGACTTTTAATTTGACAATAAACAGTTCCAGACACATTCTGAAACTGGAAATTAAACAATAGCAACAGCAACACAGTTTTATTTATATTTGTATCAGTTTGTTTTCTCAGGGCAATGCTGATTATACTGTATTGTTTTAATGCAGAAGAGTTTAGTGTTGCCAAAGTAACAGATAACAAGGATCAATTTTAGTAACAAAATACAGTTATAAACCTTTTTAATATAAAGACTTTTATTCCAATGCTTAAGATGTGTATTTAGCATTCAAGGGTTTATTACTGTATACATAATACAGTTCATTAAAAACACTGTAGGCCTTCTACAGCAGTGAACATACCGTTACCATAAATAGTGTAACCCTGGCCTCTGACTCAGGGTAAATGTGCATTTATTTGTGAAAATGCGTCACATATCACATTAGTCACATTGATCTGTTAGTGAATGACTCTAATATAATCAGCTTGTCATTTAACAATTATCCTTTTATTATAAAATAGTAAAATCCAACATTATTTTCCTAATTAGACATCAGTAAGGTGTCACTGGTAGTCATTCCTTCTTGTCTCTGTCTCCAGATGTGTCCTCATGTGCAGCAGCATCAACAGTCTGTCATGGTGTCTGTCCTCACACACACATCCAGCTGGACTGTCACAGCTTCATTGTGCTGTTTCAACAAGGTAACACCGCTGATGTAGGCTCAAATATTACGTCTCATTAAACAGCAGGTAATTAATATTGGCAGTTACTTAAAAGCACAAAACTTAAAATGATCCATTCATAAATGAGGGTTTAAACATTTGAAAATACTTCAAAAATGTTCAACCATAAAAATGCTGAGGGAATTAAATGTTCAACACTAAAATGAGGGGAGGCCTGCACAATTCTCTGCCACAGTGTGCTCCAACTGCGCCACCCACAGACCAAAGAGACCCTGGTGCACTGCTGGATTTTATGACTGAACTCAATGAGCAGGTTAAACCTCACAAAATACTTAAATCACTCACCTTTCCAACCCTTTTTCACATGAAACAATATTAAATACAGATTTATTGTAATAAGACATCACATTTTTGTCAGGGAAGAAGACACTCAGACTGTAGTTTCTGCAATCTGGCTTTGCACTACCTATATATCTGTTTATGATCATACAAAGACAGAGTGCAGTATCTGCATTTTTGGGGTCATAGGTCAAATAATTGGTCATGATTTTTAATTTTTGAAGCCATTTCTCTCTTGTCACTGCGCTTTGTAGAGCACTATAGTAAGGTAATAACAGGAAGGAAGTCAATTTAAAACTAACTTAACCCTTTTTCAACTTAAAAGCATGTAATAACAATCACGATTTCACAAACCATGCAATAAATAAGACAAAACACAACATCAAATATTAGAAACAATACTTCCGCCCTATCACAGTAACAAGTTTTTTTTTTTTTTCTCAACATCAGTTTAACCCAGTAAGTCATTGGTTCCTAATAAAAATGATTAAGGTCAAGATAAGCATTCTTCCCATACTTCTGGAACATATGGTGTGTGGCTCCCCTTGGTGGTCACTGACCCACCCTGCATTAAATCCTCTGGTGATGAATGAGACCTTATAGATTACAGAAAATGTTGCAGGTTCAAGTCCCTGTCCTGTTCCACTGGAGTAAACTGATTCATTCGGTAAGTTAAAAGGTAATGGACTGGAGAGGGTTCATGGTTGGATGGAAAAGAATACAGATAGGCTGGTTGCCCATGTAATAAAAATAAATTTTCAGTCATAAAAAGAAAGTTTTATGGATATTTATCAATTATCTGTAATATTTATGTTATTATTATATATTGATTCATATTTGAGTGATCCCTAAAACACAGTTGTAGAGGTAAATGTAAACACTGACTTAAAGGAGCAGTCCACCCCAAAATCAATTAATACATATTTTAGATTTTTCTTACCTGTAGTGCTGTTTATCCATCAAGACTGTTTAGGTGCTGAATTTTGGAGGTATCGGCTGTAGAGATGTCTGCCTTTTCTCCAATATAATGGAACCAGAAAATATTTATCAAAAACATTTAAAAAACTCAACAGCAATGTCATATCACATTTTGGTCAGTCAGTATAATCAGAACTAGGAAAGGGGTGGTTGTTAGTGGAGCAGTTTTCATCTTGTTTTTCTCTATTGAGACCCATCTCACATCACTGTTCTTTGAATGCAAGCATATCCATTACTGAGAACAATAATAATAATAACATCTGAAATATGAAAGATTTAGCCCATCGTTAGCATATGGGGCCTGAAGTGTGATCAACTTGACATGAATCATTTAAAAAATATATTGATCAAGATAAACTTATTGCTGGAAAAACTAGTTTACTTTCCTCAGTAATAAAATAAGCTCCTCCCTGCCTTTGCATTTAATGCCATATTAAATATAAGTTATAACGGACCTGAACCTGAACACTGCCTGTGCACTGAAGGAGAAGGGTGGAGAAGAGGGAACAAGTCGGAGCCGCTGAAAGCCTGGACACAGTGGCTGTTCGAGGGGCAGGGGTGGAAAAAAAGGGCAACAACTCAGGGTAAGGATTAGCACCCTAGAACACTGGTTCCCAGCCTTTTTCCTCAGGGGCCCATTTTCTATCATTTAGTAACCTGACAACCCCTGACGCAGTGACATATTTTATGGATATTTCATATTATATTAAAAACTGTACAATGACAGGAAGTTTGTGTAAAACTAGTGATGTGGAAACATTTTGAGCAGATTATTATTTAATGTTTAAGGAACTTTTTATACATTTCTCTGTTTGTATTATGTATGTCTTTATAATTTTTAGCAATCATACAGACTTAATATGCTTATTTTCGGGACAAATTCAGTGTTTTTCTGTCCGTGGCGCTGTTTTATTTACTTAATTTACTTTTCTTCACAGAACTGAACCAGATATAGGCCTACTGTGTATATAATTTAAGTTTTCTAGCACACCCTAAAATTGAGAGGGCCTCACTACTCCCCCATGAAGCTTTGGTGATCCCTTAGTGGGGGTTAGCTGAACGTTAGCTATCTCAGCAGTGCTAGGTGAGCTAGCTAACAGCTGTTACAGCTCAGCTGAGGAGGACGCCACTGTCAGTAGATGCATGCTTCCTTCTGTGATTCACTGTTAAAACATCTGGATGTGTGAGCTGGACTGCAGTTACTCAAATAATATCTTCTTCTTCAACTGTTTTCAGAATGTTTTATTGCATTTCTATTCTATCATGGTGTATTACCTGTTTAAATAAATAACATCAGGTTGATTAGTATACAGCTGGTGCAGCATAAAAGCAAATATAATACTTCAGATACAATAAATAAACAACAACAATGTCAACGCTTTCAATTGTACAGTTACAGTTTTTGTCTTCATCGCTACAGTTCAAAAAACACAACTTTGGTCTTCTAACCTTATCTGTAGTTCTTACAGCTCCTGATACACGACACTAAGTGCAGTGTTGTCAGATTAGCTTCAGACTGTTTAGTGTTGGCACTTGCTCCAAAACTTTTTTCACCAATTCTCAGGGGCGTGTCCAGTCTTTTTGGACTGGGGTGGCACAAGGGGGATTTGACTTACGCAGAGGTGGCATGAAGTATATGTCTCAGCCTTCCAGTCATTCCCAATTTCTGGGAGTTATTGGCCAAAACTGTATGGGATTAGCATAAAGTGGGCATGTCTGCAAAGGGAAAACTGATGTGTGGGTACCCATAAACCCATTTTCATCCAGATATCTTGAGGTCAGAGATCAAGGGATCTGTTTGAAAATGGCCTTGCCAGTTTTTCCATCGCCAAAATTTAACCAAACCTTGGCCGTTATTTAGCCTCCGCCCTGACATGCTAGCATGACAGGTCAGTGCCATAGAGCCATAGGATACCAGTATGTTTAATTTTACTACAGAGAGCCAACCTCTGAAAGAGTGTGGAGTTAAGGAGGCAAGGGTAATGGGGTGGCCAATCAGATTTCAGGGCCCCCCCCCTTCTGGACACGCCCCTGCCAATTCTACAAGATCTTTCTAATAATATGTTTTGTCAAACTGACAAAGCAGACAACGCTGTTTGATTAATTGATTAAAAAATCCTTCAAGTCATAAGAGTCTCTGTCAGATTATCGTCATATGACATATTCATATTTGCCATGTGTAAATCAACAAACAACCTTCATCAACAAAAACAACACTGTATAAAAGCTCTTCTTTAAAATTGCTATTGCATAACTTGTATTTCTAATATAAAAACTCTAGTATCTACTTAATAATATAGTTTGCTCTCAAGTCATTTAGTGATAAAAAGAAACAACAATTAGACTGAAATTAAGTGAAGCTAAAATACAGTCACTGTGAATCAAACATTTAACAAAAAAAGTAATCTGTTCAAAGTATGTTTAATATGATGATACACTAGGCTACAATTATAAAAGTACTGGGATGGGATTTAAAGGTCCGGTGTGTAACATTTAGGAGAATCTATTGGCAGAAATGGAATATAATATTCATAGGTATTTTTTTCATTAGTGTATGATCAGCTGAAAATAAGAATCACTGTGTTTTTGTTACCTTAGAATGAGCTGTTTATATCCACAATGGCCATTTTTCTACAGAAGCCCAAATAGTGAATATTCACTCTTGGAAGGGGAGGATGAAGGGAATAAGTTGCAATCTGCAACTACACCACTAGATGCCGCTAAATCTTATACACTGGTCTTTTACCTGCCAATGGGCCCCTAATTCATACAGCACGTCAGACAGGCAGAAACAAGATCGTTCACCATCATGGAGCTCTGCATCTCCTATAAAAATCAGTTATTTTCCATGTGGCTTTTAGTGCTATATAGTGTTGGGGACGTTGCCACATTTGACCCCTGTATCACACTGATACATAGAGCTGTAGTAGGATCCAACTATCCCTACATACAGTTTTAAAAAGATAAGTTTAAGTTTTTGTATCTTGATACACGAGCACTGAAATTCAATCTTTAATACAGTAATCAGGGTAGGGGGTTAGAAAAATGTGATGCATTTCTGTCATGTATTGAGGTAAGCAGGTTTCTAATCAGCTTTCTACTGACAGGGGAAGTAACAGCTGATTGGCTGGACCAAGTCTAACTGCCCAAAAATGTAAGCTACGGTTCCACAATAAGGTATTATTTTCATATTTTTAGGGCGTGTCCTAATATTTCCTCTTCCTGGGTAGATAAGTAACAGAGATCAGAACAGTCATCAGTCCTGCGCTTAATTTTAATTTGAGTGTTATGTATTTGGGACACTTGCCTACTGGGCTGCAAAAGCAGGACAGATATTTATTACTAATACTATTAACAGGTAGCAAAGACCAATACCAAGGAAAAGGCTGAGCTAAGAATCTCCAACAGTCCCTGAATCGATAGTTCAGGAAATGTATATAATGGAACAATTGACTTTTTCCTTGAGATATGCCACTTACAAATGTGAAAAATACTGGAAAACTGGAGATCATATCTTATTTTACTTTATATCTGTTTGGAGTACTTTGTTATATTTCTTTTTGGAATAAAACCAACAGAATTGACTTTTAGTTATAAATGAATGTCTGTTAGTATTTTGTTTTTGTCAAAAAAGAATAAAAATAAAGTTAAGAGTAAGGTCAGGGTAGGGGTGAAATCTGATCACTGACCTGCTGCATGTACACACTGATTTACAGTCACATGTGGACCTGTTCTACCACTACCTGTGTAACCTGGTTGCATGTGGACACGGAGTATGATGTGCTCAAAAGCGTCAGAAAAAGTGATCCTTGATATTAGAAGATTAGAATTTTTTATCAAATATGTTTTTATGCCTCTATCAGATTTATGCCTCCTGTTCGTACAGTGTAACAAAAAGTTTAGAAAACTCATAATTTCAAAGCAACTCTCTTCCTTAAATGTTTCAGCTTTAAGTCAAATGCAAACTCACACATATATATATTTAATTTTCAAGCACCCAAAAAGTGCAAAGTTGTAGATAAGTTTCATTTTGACATAAAACAGAAACATTTAGTGAAGACAGCTGCCTTTAGAATTTGTTTTTACAGTGTACTGGCTGTGACCTGATCTTTCCTAATATGACCTCACCGAAAGAAAGCTAGCTAATGCTAACAACAATATAAGTCAGACAAATCTAATGGGTATCTTTCAGAGGGTTCCCCCCGACACTTCCTTGATCAGCTGCGGCAGATAGGGGGACAGCATCAGCATCATCAGGCTACAAAAGCTGATCTCAGCCATGTGAAGTGTTTACCTTACAGTCACCAAGACAGACGATAACTTTCAAGAGTTGAAAAACTGGACTTGTAGCCTTTTATAAACCACTGGCTAAAGTATTTATAGCTGTTCTGAACCTATCTGTGTTATGTAACTCAAAAATAGAAGAGACAATTTCTATTGCGTTTTTCCCCAAATGATGGTGATGATGGTGAAAAAATCCCACGTTGTTCTGCCTCTGACTGGCATACCCTGATATTTTCACCCCTAACCTCAACCAACCAACAAATGCTAGAAAAAGAAAAATTTGCACGGGGGGAGGCAGTTTCAGATGCCGTTCTGATGATCCAACAAGCACTTAGTTTGAAGTAGACCATAGCCTCCAGACTCCTAAAGCCACATAGCTGAACTTTAAAATGCATTTTTTCACTGTGATTATGTCCCTTGTCACTTACAGTAAGTCACATTAGGAAGAGATCACTTCACAGCCAGTATGGACGTCAATAATGACTACAGCGACCAATGGTTCTTTTAATGGACATATCAAATCAGCCCATTCTTTATAGTTAATGTCTCCTTCACATGCTATTTATAAAGTTAATGAAGAGTTTCTACCCTACCCAAGTAATGTTTGAAGCACATACCAGCAGGCATTTCTAGACTATTTAGTTCAAATAAATTTAAAAATAAGTTACTGTAGTTTAAAAAAGGCCTTCCTGTGGAAGGCTTGAGACTCAAATGTGGAGACAAACTCTAGCACCAAACTTTGGTCATGGTCTCGTACATTGATATATGTAGACTTCTGCAGGCTGGTTCGATGGGTTGTCACTAAGTCCTGCTCTGAGAATCAACCCTCCGTTAAATGAGGGATTAAATAGACAGTTCTGGTTTCAAATATGCACCAGTCACTGTAACTGGAAGATTTGGTTTTTGAGGGAATGATGTTAGTGCAGTTAAACCTACCAACCACAGCCAAAATTGACATTTGGTTTGATGGTAATTACCTCCCTGATTGTATCTTCAGTTTTTTGTTTACACTCTTGGGAAGATCACAAAACTGATCATACTGTACGCATCTCAGAACAGTGTTTTCTTTCTTCTTCATACGTTTAAAATACTGGTCAGTTTTACTGTTTGCATGTCTGTAACAACACAGTTCTCTTCCATAAAATGTGGACAGAGTGGGGATATAGCTGCAAGGTCGACAATGATATAACCTTTAAGTTAATGAATTAGGTCTTCTATTGCAGGCAGATATGTCCTGGGGATCTTCCAATGATGGCTTCCATGCTTCAGAGATGGGATTAGGGTTTCTTGGCTGAAGACTTGGCCGGTGATTTCGAGGGACTGCTCTGACACGGAGTGACCTTGATGTGGATGAAGAGTGAGGAAGGCGAAAGGCTGGAGCCATCCACTTTAAGCAGCCAAACATGGCGATAACCTGCAGAGATAAAGGAAGAAGGTCAGGAGGGCAAATCTTTGGTACAGTCCCTGTAATAGCCAAACTCTACTGTCCCAACACATACCTGTACGGAGACTTGTGAAAGGCAGAGTGTACTGTCCCAGGAAGTCATTGCTTGAGGTATAGTCATGGTCCTCCACCATGAAACGAACCAGAGCCAGGTCAGGGACATGGACGGTAAAGTTAAAGGTACAGTCCCACCGCGGGTTGAAGCCTGAACCAGGGAAAGAACACTTACTGACAAACTTATTCACACCAATTTGTTCAGTTTAACTTGTCTGCAGTAAGTAGTTCCTAGCCCTTTTTGTCTGATGTACAGTATTACTGATATAAAGTGGATATTGTTACAATGATCAGGTCAGTTAACGCTCCTATTAGTACCACCTGAAGCTCCAGAAGGTTAGGGTTGATTCTTTTCAAACTTTTGGCCACAATAATTGTGTAGTGAAAATCTGATTTTGTGTCAGCCTTAGTTTCAACCATATATCTATTCCTTTTACCTATTTCAACTGTTAATCAATTACTTTTAGCTGTTTCAACCATTGATCCATTACTTGTAGTCAACTGTCAAGGCTGTTTGGACTGCTAGTGGTGCCATGGGTAATATGTACTGTAAACACAGAGAAGTGGCTTTTAGTCATTATGCAGCACAGTGTTGAAACCAACCTCCGGATGGTTGTAGAAGAGCTGCAACCATTGGAGTTTTTAAATCCAGACTGAAAAGCAAGGACTTTTACCTAAATGTTTCCAAAAACCAAAAGTCTTATTATAATTCTGCTATTATTATTTTCATTTATTTATTTTTATTCTTTGGTGTTATCTTTTATCTTACTTTTACGTTTTATCTTTGAACTGTGTGGCTTTTGACTACACTGTACAGCCCCCGGATTCAATATGCTGATATATTTTTTTAAAACATCATTCATTTTATTTTAAATTAGTCAAACTACTCCCTAGTATTGCCACACACCCCCTGGCAACTGCAGAATTACCCCCTGGGATACAAATGCTTGGGAACCACTATTTATACTATTGATACTTTAAAGATGCCATGGTAATTGTAGTTTTTTCGTTTACAATTCCACTTATTTTTTTCTGGAGCTTTCAACCACATCTAAAGGTGTTCATTAGCTAAGTGACTTTCTAATAAGCTGTGTAGAATTTCATAAATGCCATTTAAAAGTGTATTTTTTTCGGTATGCTAGGTATTTACCATTGTTGTCGACATGATGAGTTTTCTTCTTATTGTTGTCTATGGGAACACCATGTATCTCTACCCACACCTGAGGGTCCACAATGGAGCTGGGCTTGTCCCATTCTGGTTTAGGAAGCTGCTGAGCTGAAATAACCTGGAATAACAGAGCTTCATTTGATTAGAGTATCATTATAGTATGTAGCAAGAACAGCTTATTAGAGTGAGTCTGACACTCCCATACAGTGTGTGTAATGCCATCCATCCATCCTTTTGGGGTATAAATTTACAACTGCCTAGAACCATTGGAGTAACATCCAGTCACCAATATGTTCCTGTACTTCTGTTTAACAAACTGACAGTGGGGAAAATACCTTTGGATCCTGCAGTTTTACATATTCCGCTACTTGCTATTCATTTAGGCTAGGTTACCACCTTCTTACCCGAACAGTGAGTAGGACAGGACTATGGCCAGGTCCTCCACCAACATTCTCTGGGTTGAAGGTGGTGTCTGGCCGGCACATGAACGGAGGCTTCAGGATGTACCCACACTGACCATTCTGCAGAAACCTGCCATGGTTTAGGTCCATCTGCTCACCAGGTGTCTGGAAATTCAAAGCAACTGGAGAAAACACAAGTGTGTAAGTGGCATACATTTCTGTCTACCACAATGTTCTTTTGATACTACCATTGGGGGGATGGGTGGCACACAATTAGACCAAGGAGAGGAAGCCAAGAACTTGATTAGTCTGTCTGCTTCTCTTGTGAACAGAATAACATAAAATAAGCTCTCACCAATCTGACAGCCGCCGTTCCACATCTCCTGAGGGTTGTAGTTGGAGGACTGGAGGCGCTGGCCTGAGGGGTAGATCCTGCTGAGCTGGTGGCTGTTGTGGCGAACAAAATACATCCCTGGAGGAGATGGACAAGAAAAGCCCAATTAGTCAAATGGTACACTGTGAAAGACTCATTTTGCTTTTGTTTTTGTGCTGCCTGAATAAGGTAGAATTAATATGTCTATATGCACCTAAATCTTTATTTGAATCTTTAGGATTTTCACTATTCCATTTCCACTTTTTTTCAATTGAGGGCAGCATGAAAACTATTTCCCTTTACTTTCATAGAGTAAGTTTAGTCACTCACATACACACATCTTACCTGAGTCCTTGATGTATCTGAGTGCGTCGCTCTCGGAGAAAGAGGACATGTCAGTTGCTGGGTTTTTGGCTGCTTGTTCGAAGCTTTTGAAGGGAACACTTTGGGTGTACACAACCAGCTCCGACAGCTCTGGACTCAGCTTAGACACACCTGGCTGAGACGACACAGAATGAAACCAATCACATTATTTACCAGCCTAACTGCTAAATTACTGTTCACTGTCAGTTTATCCTCATTGCTATTTTCAAAATGTAGTATTGTACCCACCTTCTTTTCCTCTTTCTTTCTCCTGGGTTTGCCTTCGGCGCAGCTGGCCTCCTCGTCTGAGGAGCTGAGGTCTGAAGAGCTGGATGAGCACTCCACCACACGCTCCTTCTTCCCTTTGACCAGGATTTTAAACTTGAGCTCCTGCACACACAACAAACACAGTACACGCACTACACATTAACAACTTGTTTGAAAATTATACTACTAGTTAACTATTTTATCACCACAAGAGCTACTACTGCAGCGTTAGCCACCAAGACGACTACTTCATGATCTATATTACTACTGTAATACTGTGAAAATGAAATGGTATATGATATTACCATGTGTCATGTATAGTCTCACAATAAAAAACACTCGTAAATATCTTCACGAGTAAATTGTGAAAGCTGTCTAGCTTGCTAATGTACAGTCTTATACTGTTTTGCTGATTTATTTTAAAAAAGGGGGAAGCCCACACCTTTCCAGTCATTCCAAAATCCTAAGACTGTCACCATGGCTGAATGAATGATGGTCCCTTTCTGTCCTATCTGTCACATTATATTTATTTGACACCTGTAATTGGCAAATGTAAAAATATTATTTATTATTACAGATAAAACAATTCAACAATATAAAAAGTACTTCAAATTAGCTCCACCACACACAGCTATATTTGACATTATGGCAACTTTTCTATCATTGAATCAACTGATGACCCCTAACTGAGTGACATATTTTATGGATATTAGCTCTTTGTTTTTTTTTTGTCTTTGCTTTTGTCCACAGGGGCTGCCAGAATCAACACAAAATGTTCCTTTTGCTTTAAGTAAAACATCTGAATAGTTTATCCACCACTGTCTACTGCTACTGCTACTTCTATCATCACTGATAATAATACAATAATGTACAACAATGGTTAGACAGGAATAAAACGGTATATGGGAATAAAATCCTCAAAGCAAACAATATAAAGTCATGTATAATTAAAGGCACAGACAGAAGTCAACATTAATATGAAAGGGCCTCAAGGGAGTGTGATTACTGGGGCACAGATCATACGTGCGCATCAGCCCTCACACACGTTATGATCGTGTGCAAATGTAGAATAAGTGGGGCACAGAAGAGCAGATGGCCCCAGATTTCCAGCCTAACCCAAACAGTCTGCTCTCTGCTTCACACATAATCATAACAATGTAACAGTTGACATCAAGACAGAGAAACCGTACAAATGCCACACATACACAAACAGAAATCCACAGGAAACTCCTGCAATCCAGTTGGAGAGAATTTTTTAAAAAGTGTCAGAGTGAAATCCTCGACATTGGCTATTTTTAACCACGTCCACATTCTGTTAAAGTAGCAAGCACATACATATCTATCAGGACAAATCATTTAATCACGTCAGGTTTTTAATCTCTCAGGCAACATTGTGTAAGAAAATTGAATGTGGCTTTACACAGGCTTAATCTATGCCACCAATTACCATTAGTCTGAATAGATATAGTAGTTCTTATGGGGACTGGACTTTGATCGGGTTTTGGAACAGTGTCTCCTTACCTCTGGAGAGGGCAGCTTGTGAGGATCCAGATCACTGACGGACTTGGTGAGCAGCTTGTCTCCCAGGATGGATCGTAGGTGTCGAGCCATTACTGTCTGCTGCTCCACGGAGCAGTGGTTCTCCAGGGACAGGATCAGAGGGTACGGAGATGCCTGAGAGAGATGGTGCAAAGTCAGTGAGAGCAGGATAGAGAAGAAAGTATGGAAATTATCTTTTAAACTGTGAGCAAAATTGTTATTGTACATACAACTCTTCAACAACACAATATCACTTTTGTCCACATAAATTAGCATAAATGTATTAAATTAGAACGTAGTGTTTGATATTTATCTGTAACATATATCTGCATGAATGTGACCAAGACAAAATACTGTATGCAGCTCGCATGTAAAATGATTCTGATTATACTCACTTTAAAAGCATATTCATTGATGGTCTCAATGACTTCGACAAAGGGCACTTTGGAGGTGAGTGTGTGTCCATGGTATATGATTGGCTCTCCTTTATCTCCATCCCAACAGTCCAGCTCCACACAGCGGCAGCTATGATTCAAGGCTCTAAGAGAATAATCATCATTAGGAATTTCTAAAACTTGCAATTTAGGAGCTTGTGACTAATCTGTGTTCTTGTCGATGTCCATGTCTAAAGTCTGGGGGCCTGAACTCACACCCTCTAGCCTCACAGCAACCAAAGCTAACGGTTAATGGTGTATTTGGTTGGTCCTCCTCAACTTGTCAAGATGAGAACAGAAGGTTCCACATTGGTGTAAGATTTGGTATTTAGCAGTGACTAACTTGCTTCATCCTACCCATACCTGCATGGAGGAGAAACTATGGTGGCCCGCTCACAAAAAAAGGCCCTATCTAGAGCCAGTGTTTGGTTTGTCAATTCTGGGCTACTGTAGAACTGTAGGACCCAACTCTCAATGTGTACAAGGACTGGATGGCTCCTAGCATTGGCCCTGGCTACTACCTATTCCAGCAGCATGCCCTACTGAATACACCAAGGAAGACCCATAGAATAGTAGACTGAATGAGCACTTCCATTAACTCTCTGATATTCCTGCAAGGGTGTTTAATGACTGGAACGGAATCTGGACTGCTCTTCTTGTGGTTCAAGCAGAATCTCCTCCTTTCCAGCACCCTAGCATGAGCTTACCCACCCACACCACTATGACTGAAGCATAGGTCTCAGCCACATGCACTGTTCCCAAGCTCTACAAAGGATTAAAGTGGCATGTCACCTAAGGTAGCCCAACAATACTCAGCGCCTCCAGTATCTCAGGGAAAACCTCATTCATCCATAGATAGTTAGTTCCATAGCCAGGGAAATGGGTAACATGGATGCAACCCTGCCTCTTCCACAGAGGGGTATGTCAGGTTTAGGAGTTCCTCAAAGTGTTCTTCAAGAGTTTCTGGAATTTTTCCCAGAAGCTGGTGTCCATGATATAGACAACAGCCTAGGACCTGCCTCTTTCCCGTGCTGTCAGACAGTTTCCCAGTACCTTGTTGAGCCCAACTGAAAGACTTCCTCCACGGCCTTTCCAACTCCCCCCCACACCCAAGTTTTTGATTAGCAAACTCCTGGAAGCTACATCTCTTCGGCCCCAATATACCTCTAATACATAATGATGTAACTGACTTTACCTAGCCTAGCAAGCTACATATTAAAATGCTGTATGTTCACACATTCATTCACTAAATGTTACAAAGTGCATACGTACAGGTATGTGTATGGTCCTGTTCGTTCTTACCGGATATATGGCTCTGTGCTGCTGTCCCCGGTCAGCTGGTCCTTAGTGAGGTAGGTATTGTGAGAGGAGGAGATGAAGTAGTGTGCCAGTGGGTGTTTCATGTCTTGGTAAACCCTAGCATGCTCTGGGTTAAATACACAGTTCTCCTTAGAGAGCATGTACATGGTAAAACCATTTGGGGTCATGAACTGGTTCCTCTGGGCTGTACTGGGCAAAAGGCACAAACACAAGTCAGTAAAGGAGGGAAATTATTATACAGTGAGACAACAGGTGTTTGTAGTCAGTGCAGGTTGTAAAATACAACAAATTGTTTCACAATTTTGACCACGTTCTGTATGTTTTTTGGACCATATAGAAATACAGTAGGCAGCAGCAGGTTCCTCACTAGATTTTTGCAGTGATATATTTTTGTGTATTCAAATGTCTGTACACATGTAAGAAATCTGGGCATCATTTTTTATTCTACTTTAAGGCCTAGACTATCGGGGGATTTCCCATGATGCAATGAGCTCCTCTCTTCCTCTCTTTCT